AGCGCCTATGGCCTTCATCCATGGCCTAATTCATTCCATGTACAGACGATGCAACCCTTCCATCAATGCCCATGGAGGCCACACACGATACTGACTTTGGGGTATCTTAATGGTACCTTTTTTGGTGATTTATTTGTGTGAACTGTAAATGTGATTCGTGTTAAATGTGTTAACCATAATTGGAAAGTTTGAACTAAATCATCCGTTTTGATTGTTAATTAGAGTGAGTGAGTGAGTCATTGAGTTAATATTTAACGTCACATCGGCAATATCTCAGCCAATTCGTGACGAAAACAATTTATACAATAAATGAAATGAGAAACATTTGACATTGAAATAGAATATATGTGCGTTATAAAAACCTGTCGACGAAGGACAGTAAAACAACTAGAATATCACAATTACAAATAAAACTAGTGTTGAGAATTAAAACTGATAGCACTAATGGACAATACAATATAAAAACAGGCTATAGATCGCCAACACCAGAAGGTAGATCACCATACCAGGGACCATGGGGACTTACAGTACCTTTGCTAGGACCCTAGTTGGATTAACACCATCTCTTCAGCTGCTGGCGATTGTAAGAAATGTTAGCCAAAATTAAAATGACAAGAATGCTACGTTTAAAAATCCTGGCAAGTTTAAATTGACTTTGAAACTTTGGGGACTTACGTACCCTCTGAGGAGGACAATAATTTTACAGTACTTCAACCCCCCTTGAGGATACAGCCACTAACAATGTAAGGTATTAATTTAGTTAATTAGAGTGAATTAAAGTGTGTGCTTCAAGAAACCTCTATCGGTGTGACGTTTCTTTTGCAATAAAGTTTTAGGGTGATATTATATTAGGATTTATGGATTTGGTTGAATATGGATTTAGAAATTAATATTCCACTCACAACGTGTTATAAGCTTCAAGCAAGCACGCCCATTCCGTGCCAGCATTATCAATGTCATGCGAAACATGGGGATAAATTTAGTTGGGATGCTGCTATATCTACATCGACCCAATTATAATGCACACATTCATCAAAGGGATAAACCAGTTACTCATCAAATGAAAAATATTGAAACACTCAAGTGCCGAAATGAATAGAATAGATTAAGATTATGTTCGTAAAGCTGTTATTTGAAATGGACTAAATTACCGGTTTCTCAACATTTCATGGCCATTCTGACATGAAGCCGTTTTGACCTCAGTTATTATAATGTAAACGTGGTTAGAATGTGCACGTGCCAGCCACCGATTGCAAAGAAAGAAATGATACTTATGAAATGAATAGGCACGTTTTGTTCTTGTTTTTTTTGGTAGAATAAGGACTAGGGTCAGGATTAAGTGAAAGTTACGCGAGGGTAAGTTTGATCAGATGACCACAACTGGTTATCTATGTCAATGCATCTTTGCTTAAATATTGATATGAAAGAAGAGATATTTTCAACACTTTGGTTAGCCCACACATTGCCAAAACCATAACGGTACAAAAGATATTTCACCTTAAGAGCCCAACAATCTATACCATTTTCAGCAAGACAGTACTGATAATCATACACTTTATTTAAGATTACATTGTCAACTTGAGACAGGAGGCGAGCCTAATATTTAGTCATTTTGATATATTGATTTACCTTTAATGAATAACGCCCTACAATATTTGGCGTGTTTCTGGAAAGACCCAAAACCTGTTTACAGAACTTATCGTGTACGTTCAATACAGATGGCGACAGATGGAAACCCCAGACTTCACTTCCATATAGTAACAATGGTAAACGTGTGACATCAAATATATGGAGCAGAACATTAATTGGTAGATTATACAAATTCTTAACCGATGATTTGAGAATATTCATCCCCATCCATGCTTGGTGAGCCAACGTTTTCTGTGTAATATGCCATGATCCAGAGGAAGAGAAGTGAACACCCAAGTATCTATACGTTGTATGATGCAACAATTTCAAGCACCTGTCCATTCAAAAGGAATTTTACGTAATGTCTTAGTCGACCAGCCTTCCTGCAAACAATAACTTTACTTTTTTTATCAATATTTATTTTCACTTTCCACTTGTTACAATACGAAACTAGCTAATCTGGCCTCTTTTGCAGACCTATTACCTAACACTATTCTATTAAAGATGTCTTCCTTAATTCAATGAGTTTATTAACAACTGGTAAGGAAAATCTGACAACAACCTATTCGTATTTATTTAATGATGTGTCATATTTTAGAAATTTTAAGCAGCTTGAGTAATATCACAACTTCAACGCAGAACAATGAATACTTTCAACGCAGACCACATATGGCGATCACCTTCACCACAAAGAACAAAACACCTTCAACGTAGAGCACAGATCGTGAAAACATTCAACACAGCACACATGTGGTGGTTTATTTTGACGTGCTCGAGCATGACCTGTGTTAGTTAAGAGATAAAAATTGATCGTCAAACGTTTTCATTTGGATCTTTAAGCGTTTGGAGCGTTTGATGCACTTAAAGTTCATATGGTCAGTCAGAACAAGAATATTTCATTTTGTCACATACTGTAGAAACTACAACAATAGAGGAAGTTTTAAAACTATATTTCTTCCTTTGAGAAATATTTTAACCTTATAAACTACACTAAAATGTCAATTGATTTCAAAATAACAAATACAACCAACTAATTTGACGAACAAAACCTGCTCAGCATACATTCCTAGTCTACCTCGAATATTACAAACAGTTTCCTTCATTAATACTGAAATACTAATATTAATGTTCTACCACCAATACTGACAACTGTCACTTATACTAATATTCCATATACTACAGTCCGTTTGAGTCAGAAACGGACCGATGAATTGCAAATTTTATCATTGTACAAAATTGCCACATAAATATAAATAGTACACATGTTTATCATTTACTAATACCCAACAGCTTTCTTATATTTGAAAATTTTCAGGACTCCACCAAAAAAGTTGTTTAAGAAACTATCATCATTGAAGTTGTTATCTGTCGCGGCGGGGTGAAACCGCAGAAACGGAACAGCCAGTCAGGGCGGGGGACATCTCAAAATCTATTCCGAGAGACCTGTCGGTTCCTCGTCTGTCGTAGTGTCATAGTCACGACTTAAAGGGATGACAAGTGGTGCCACAGTTGCCTGTTGTAAGCCATCCCGAGACCAGTAACCTTGTTCAATGACGTTAGCTACCTTGTTGACACAGTTTTGCAAAGTTTCAGTCGTGATTTTGTTAAGGGATTCCTTAACCAAAACCTCTACGTCACGTAATCTAAAAGGTGTGTTTGATCTGGCAACATCTCCTTTGACAATACCCTATATCATTTCAATGGGGTTAAGGTCACAGTGATAGGGTGGAAGTCGCAGAATATCGTGACCCTTACTTTTTATGTAACTATCAACTTTGTAGAAAGGTTCGTCTTTGTGGGTTTTTATGATCTCATATAGCTGAGGCTTCGTTGCCTTTGAAGGCCGTGCGATCTGAAATTTGTCGAGCCATGATATCATATCACCTTTTGGACTGTTCGATGTCGGGGTCCTGCACGCTGTGGTATGGGGCATTGTCCATTACAATAAAAGACTTCTCTGGTAGAGCTGGTACCAACTTGTTTTTAACCAAACCGAGGAAAACCGCACCATTCATCTCGGAATGGTAGTCTCTGTTATCTGTGGACTTTGCCCTGAATACCAAGTCGCAGCCTGGGAGAAAGCCTTTGCTGGAGCAACCAGCATGGAGAATGATTAGTCTCTCTCCTTTCCCTAGAGGCAGCTTTCTACGTGACCCCTTATCACCACCATCGGGTACCCACTGACTGCTGGCAGTGTGCGAGGCATTGACCCAGGTCTCGTCCAAGTACACTGGCTCGAACCCTTCCTCGCGCTTCTTCTTTATAACCCTGAGAAAATTATTTCTCAAGCGAACGATATCAGGGCGTTCACAGAGTACTGACCTATTCTCCCCCGAAATTTTCTTATAACGATACCCGAAAGAGTGTAAGAGTCGCCAGGTTCTTTTGAAAGTTGTCCAAATGTTTTAATTTGTGTGATTTTGACACGACCCCTACCTGCTTCGCATCACCCTCACAATGTTTGTGTTCCAGGGGGTCCTTTCACGAAGCAACCTTTACTAAGGTTAACCTTAACTCCCATTCTTTAACATTGCACTAAGGTTACCTTAGTGACTTACGATCACCTTAGCGCTTTGTGAAAGGAGGCCCAGAACATTTGTCAGTACCCTAGCTGATACTCCTCAAGCTTTTGCTGCCCGCTTACGGAATTTAATAATGGCATAAAATGGTTTGCCCCTTTCGGCTTCAGCACGGAAAAAATCGTACACTTTAATCATCAACTGTTTCACGTCAGCATTCAACTTCATTTTTCATCAGGCATGTGTATCCCGTGCACGACGAGATAGTGGCTGTTCCGTTTCTGCGGTTTCACCCCTCCGCGACAGATAACAACTTTTGCGTTTTCAATGATGATAGTTTCTTAAACAACTTTTTTAAGAAAGCTGTTGGGTATTAGTAAATGATAAACATGTGTACTATTTATATTTATGTGGCAATTTTGTACAATGATAAAATTTGCAATTCATCGGTCCGTTTCTGACTCAAATGGACTGTAGTAACAACACCAACATGGTAATACTAATATTCCCGATTCCGACTTCATAGTAAGCATGATTGTGACATATCTGCTCAACACACTTATGTATTTCAGGGTCAGCTAAAGAAGAACCGTATCACCAATCTGCCGTACTCTTTTTTCCTCGTCTCTTACGATGCATCTTGAGAGTCTCATCGGAGAGCTGGGCAGTTTCGGTCCCTACCAGAGATGCGTCCACTGTATTCTACTGTTGCTCAAAGCACTTAGCGTCCCACCTATGATGATGATGGCGTCTGCAGGTGTTGAACCCGATTGGTGGTGCGAGTCACGTGGTCAGGATGAGACCGCCATTTTTACAAATAACAGCTACCAAAATTGTCAGTGGAATGGACTTGTCAGAGAATATTTGAGCCCGAAACAGTAACCATTGTATCTGAGGTAAGTCATATCGTGTCAGATTCGACATGTAAAAATCCCTGTATGGGTAATGGGTGATAAACATGCATCAAACATTATAAGAGGCATGGGTTATCCGTTCGTCTGAGGCGTAGCTGGTAGACAGTGACGATTGGCTGTGTTGAATTCGGCTAATCTTCAGTTCATCTTCGATCAGGTCGGATAAGAAGCCTTGGTTTGTTGGCATCATTTCGATCTCGTTGGTTTCAGGGTTTTATTAACTGCCTTATCACTGTAAGTTGACATGCATCTTTCAAATCGACCTGAAGTTGAACTCAGACAATCACTTCAATAAGATCGATATAGTTATACAGTCTCTTGATTAGTAGGGTAAACTCGTTTTGATGCATATTGCTTTGGTAAGGTGAAAAGAAGACTAACTGTATTCTGGTCTGAAACATTATATACACTACGCGCCAAAAGAAACGTTACCCTCCTACATTTATGACTTACTTAATTTTTTCAAATGCATTCATATTTAGGTGAAATGCATTTTTTTCGAAGAGTTAAATTGTCCTATTTTCGTCCATGCAGAAATAAACAAATAACATTGATTTAGATGTCCAAAAGAAAGGTTGAAATAAAATTATGTTTGAGACAAAGATAAATGATTTAAAGTCACCATTTTCAACTATTAAAACAAGAAACAGCTGTTGTAGAGTGTGTAAAATTGTAACATAATCAGTCCTATGATTTCAGTCTTTTAAAACATTTTCTGCTGATTTGCATTAGTGAAACAAGTAGAACGTGTCCTTGATATTGTGAAAACATGTTTAGGAACATCTAAAATTATCTTTGTTAACATTTTTGCTTGCAAAGTAACATTTTTCCATTTTCCTTTTACACATAGCAATATAAATCGCCAAAACGCAGCAATATTTGCATCCATTTCACATGTAGAATGATTCTATAGGGTATAAAGAGAGCCTAGAATGCATGATATGATACACAAGTACGAGGAATATGCCACGATTAACAGCTGAAGAGAGAGAAAGAGCCATCGTAATAGTGAAGATGGGGTCGACATACAATGATGTTGCCAGCGCCCTCGGATGCCATCATATCACGGTTATAAGACTTATTCAGGGCTTCAGACAGACTGGGGTCCCCGTAGACAGACCAAGAAGTGGACGTCCACGCTTCACAACTGAAGCTGAAGATAGGTACCTCCGTCATTAAGGAAGGAGGGTAACGTTTCTTTTGGCGTTTAGTGTATTTTATATTTTGCCTGTTTATACAAGTTCTGGCTATTTCAGTGGAACCTCGTGTGCAGCAACAGGTGGGTCAGTAACACCATCATTTCCATACAAATGGTAGGTGTTCTTTTCGGCAGCATAATTGCAGGCTACTGCTCAGACAGATACGGACGGAAGAAAGTTGTCTACGGCGGACTGCTATTGAGCACCATCAGCAACCTCATAGCTTCATTCTCTGTGTCATGGATCATGTTTGCTGTGATCCGAGTCATCATCGGACTGGCAGTAGGATTAACATTGTCCTGTTGCTTCTTGTACCGACTGGAATTCGTGGGAAAGAAATGGCGAGGGGCGTGTACTACGATTCCATCCTGGTCCCTTGGTGTGGTGCTATTTGCTGTTTTAAGTTGGTCCATCCGGAACTGGAAATGGCTGCATCTAACTATCGTTGCAATCAACATTCCCTTGCTGCTGACTTGGTTGTAAGTGAATTATTTAAGAAATGCACAATCATTTGTGTTTTGTTGTAAGGACAACGCCGTGACTACTAATTTCTACTTAGTGTGGTAATTTTAGTTTTGACTATGGACCATATCCGAAAATACCTCACATGTTATAGAACAAAGGGACTTAACACATTTTTCAAAATGCCAAAAATGTTCACACACATTCCTGCCTTACATTAAGATATCTACCGAAATATTAACTGAAAAAGGAAAACGACTCTTGATTTTGAAATCTAATTTCTTCGACTTGAGTTAGCGCACCAAGCATGAAGTATTCTAAGACTACATGCTTTGTACCATTCTCTTTCTCATCTGTATCAATTCAAAATGGCCTTCAACATTTACTGCTAGTGTGGTGCCAGAGTCGCTCCGTTGGTTAGTTGCAAAAGGACATCTTAAGGAGGCGAGGCGCATCATCAACAGGATTGCCAAGTTCAACAAGAAGCCTGTTCCAGACATGTCCATCTTGGAGCTGATCGCCGAGGAGGAAAGGGCGGAGAGGAACACAGCTAAATCCTACTCCTATATAGATCTGGTCAGAACCAGGACACTGAGGCCGAAAACTCTGATAACAAGCTTTCTTTGGTAAATACGTTGCATATGTTGAAGTACCTACCCTTATATCTGCATTTTTGAAGAAAAATTCAGTTAAATTGTGAACGATAGTGCAAGGTCCATCTTCGGGATCATCATCATCATTAGTAGCAGCATTTTGTCACCATCAACATTATTACCAGGAAAGTTTCAACATCTCTACTTGCAACAATTATCACCAGTGTTGTCCTGAGCATCACCATGCCAATCATCTGCTTTCAGCTCCACATAAATGTTGTTTCAGGCTTTCATTGTCCATTGTGTACTATGCCATAACATTTGGTATAAAGAACCTGTCAGGCGACTTCTATCTCAACCTGATGATCATGGCACTACTGGAGGTTCCGATGTCTTTCGTGGAACTTTTCATGGTGTCAGTGTAAGGATTTATGGTACTTTAAGTAGTTATTCAGCATAAACGTGAGCTTACTGTGTATATGTGTCTGCTTATATTACTCCCATCTAATGCCAATGTTATAACGCAGGCACTATGACATACCATTTCACAGTTTAACATTACACAACCAGTAACTTAATTAGTGAAAGTCTATATCTATTCCATCGTTTAGTTCTTGTATAAATCTCTACAGATTTTGTGTTTGTGGGAAAGGCGTCGTACGTTGGGCTTCATTTGACTCATGTTAATTTGTTGTTTATATTTAAAACAAATGGTTATACACGTTTTATGGTTAGCTATGAGTGTCAAAATGGCTTTCATATTTCAATGTCTGTAAACAGACAAAATTACCCAGCCAATGACGTGAGTCCAACTGCCTTCTCACCTGCGCATAGTTACTTTTGTAAATCTCGGGTCTTATGATCACACAGGTTCAGTCGGCGTTGGGCGTGCGCCATACTGCTCTTGTTCTCAGCTGTTGCCTGTTTTGGTGTCGCCATAGTAACAAAGCTGGGTGAGTATGCATGTCTGTCTTGATTCTGCTTTGGGACACTTGGTAAATCTTAAACTAGAACATGTGGGAGTGAGTGAGTTAATATTTAACGTCACATCGGCAATATCTCAGCCATATCGTGACGAAACAAATGTATACAATAAATAGTGAAAATACGAACATGTTGGAAATAAAGCAGATGTGGCATCATTCTCCCCAGCAGAACATTGGTTGTAAATATGTACAACGAAGGGAAGGAGTATGTTACAGTATTAATGATAATGGTGTTGTTTTTTTCAGGAAAGTGTAAATGGCGGTGCTTCAACCAGCCCAATAGTTTGGGCATTGTAATAATATCATTCACCATTTCCTGTAAATACACACACCGCACCTTTTTACAGCTCCTGCAGACATCAAAGTGCCGTTAGAAAATGGATTTGCAATCTCCGCCAAATTATCCAACATCAGCGCATGGCTATTGATCGGGGTGTTGTCCAGTGAACAGCTCCCTACCGTGGTCAGGTGATTCGAATAGTCACACTATGTAGAATATAGATTGTAGCGCTGAAGTGACTAGCTGTTAACGACAAAATGATATAGAATAGAAAATGGTATTCAAACCCTCCTGCCGCGGATCCTGGCAAGGACAAAATGAATATTACACGCCACAGCAATATTTGGGCATTAATCTGCATGGCCACTCGTGCTCCAAATGCGTGGGGAGTGTTGAGTAATCTAGTATCTAAACTAACATCATCTACATGGACAGAGCACAAAGAACGATCCTAATAACATGTTGAGTCAGTGTCTTCCAGTGTGCCCTTGTCTTATTCACATCTGTGTGTTCGCTGAGTGACTGGTACCTCATCAAGGCATTTCCTAGGGGTATTTGTACTTTGCTGGTACTCAACAACTTTTATTACTGACCATGTTTCTTTTATAAATTCAGTATTTGCCACGTTTTGTGATAAATAATTTTATCATATGTTTGATTTTCAGTTAAAAAATCAAACGTAAGCTATATTATATCGACTTGGAGACGATACTCGCACTAAGCATTCAACACATGCTTGTAAAGGACAATTGATACCCTTCAAAAACAATACAGTATAATACGCAACTGCTATCAATGCATATCTTTGACATCTTATCTTTTGAAAACAATATGTTTAGATTTTCTGCACAGATTTATAACAAATCCATGTCGTCATTGAACTTGTTTAGTTTTACACAAAATTACCAATTCACCGATTTCTATTTACAAAATGTTGCAGAAATGAGTGATGTTGAAATAGACATAATCAGATTCTTCATTTTCAATGACATGAAAACACAATCTCGTTGTACTTTCATTTGCCCCTTAGTCTGTTTTTGACATTGTTGTGTCTTATATTAATTAAAGTGATAGTAGATATTCTTGTAGATAATATTCTTTGCAAAGCAGTTTACAGTTGAGGACTAGTATTTTTTACATTGTAAATCATTTGAATATGTCACGACTTCCTGACCTTTTCCAGGAACTTGGCATATGCTGCTCAAAACACAGCTGCAAGAATTGGAGGGATCGTGGCAGCTCAGATATTCTCTTTGGTAAAACAATTTAAGTGTTAAGTAACCACTCCACAAACCTCAGCGTGTTATCTTTCACACGTTAGGGGACTCCACTTTTTACTTTCAAGCATTCTATTTCATTAGATTCAAATCTTGTTTTCCCTGCCTGATATGGCTGCACTATTACTATTAGCAGTGTAAAGCCTGTAACCTCTTTAGCAAATTCTTATTCCTCTGCCAGGGTTCCAAGGACGATCTGATGCCACCTTTCCTCGCCATGGGAATCTTGATGTCTTTTACGGCATTATCATGCTTTGGTCTTGAAGAGACGAGCAAAAAGGCATTAGAGGACACAATGAAGAAATATACAAGAGAGGGCGTGAATGAAGAGGTTGAGGGAAGTCTTCCTCTGAACGATATTACTCTGACAATGAATGGCAGGGGTGGGGCGAAGGGAGACATCGCAGAAATGGACGAATATTGTACCTATGCAAAATCATGTGGTGGTGGTACTGACGAAGGAGGAAGTATTTCCCAGTCAAAGGTGAAGACAGTTGAGGGATTGGTTGATAACAGTAAACCAGAGAAGAATGAAGGGGAGGAACAAAGGAGCAGTAACACGTTCCTCTAGGTCCGGCGTGTGTACAGTACAAGCGACATTGGTGGTGACAGATACATAATAATGTCATATGACGATCATAACGATCAATGGTCAAATATTAAAGACTTGATTGTAATCATTGTCAACAGCAGGCGTTGTCAGTCAGTAAATTAACATGTGTTGTGATCTTTTCAAGTAACTTGCTGGTATGCATATTAAAAAAATTGTCAGATTGTTTGCAAGTTTCTCTTTTGTTGACTTTATCAATAGTGCATACTTTGTCTTACTTGTACTGGATACCAGCCAGGTACATTCAAGTCAGAACACCATAGCAGGGTCCTGGAAGATTACAAACAAATACCTACGCTATATTTGTGAATAGATAGGTGAGTGATGCTGAATCAGCAACAGTGTAGCTATCAGTTTTCTATGGAATTGATTATAGAATAAAAGTGCTGACAAAGATCACTTAAACAATAAACTCTAAGCTTTATCACAGAGTTAATTTCTTTCCAATGTACTTAAACGAAGTAGTGAGAAACGGCATTGAAATTTCAGAAATGGTTTGAACAGTAACGAACAATGAAATAAATGTGCATATCCACACAGTACTGAGAGGTGGTTGCCTGTCAAAGGGCTATGACAAAAGGCATCCGTTTCGGGGATCTTCTGTCTTCAATACATAAAACTGGTATAATGAAAGTGTCCAGTGCAACACGTCACCTTCTTATCATAACTTCGTAATTCGCCCTCACGACTCGATTAGTAAAGGCATAATACCCAATCAAGATAATTAGATACATTTTCTACTTCGAATTTCTAACCTATCGCCAAACAGCAGGTTTCAAGCGCGCTCGATACTGACATCTCAAGAGTAGCTTTATCTGCAGAATATACCTTAGAAGTTTCCCACCCGAAAGCCAGCAAAAGAGGATTTCCAAACGTACAAATTTAAATAGCATTTCAAAATGTCAGCTATATATGGATGGTCAATTTTACGGTTCCTAATTGCCTGAAGGCGTGTCAAATAAATAATGAATCTGGAAGGGCAACCAGTTAACTGTAATGACAAAGTATGATACGGAGTGACAGCTGCTGCTGACACTGTATATCCTTTCTTCTATTAAATATTAGTAAATGTTTGTATGATCATGGCTTGTTGATATGACAGGTAGTTCGTGCCAGGCAGTTTCAAGTTGGTAAAAATCGAGAAATCAAGTTGCATTGACCATGGCAATTCAGGCAGTTTGAAACCAGCAATTACAGAAATAGTTCCCTTTCATACAGTGTCTGATAAGGAGGATTAACACAGCGTTAAAGGAAAGAATGGATGAGACGGATATGGATTTTAGCAACACAATGCAGTGCCAGTTTTATCCTTCTGATATGTAGACAAGGCTCATTAGCTTAAACACGTATGCCTTGTAAATGATGTTAAGCTCTTGAATGTATGCCATTTTGTAGCATTTAAAACTACCTTGGGTATATCAGGACAACATTTTAAGCATTTAACAGTTTCATATAAGGAAGCGTTTGTCAAAGCTTCTTATTACAATTTGGTCTCTTTGACCGTTCTGATTGGAGTTTTGCAAACTGTGACAACTGTAGCAGGCACTTCAGTTGTCATTAAAGGTCTGTTCCAAGCAAACTATTGATCTTGACGAACATGTTGTTTTATATAATGATTGATATCGTGTTGTGAATAATGCACTTCAGGATTGAAATAGTACTCTCACGTAACTGAACATACAAAGAATATTATTTGTCAAAATTTAAGACCAATTTGCCTCACTGTATTTTGTTCAATTGAGAACAAAACTGAGGCAATTTGCAAATGTGTGTGTACCCAAGGAACGTAATAAAGAACATGATCCAGCACATTATCTCATTTTGATCGTCGTGAACAATTTGTCACGGTAGCCTGAAATGAGTCTTTATTTTGTCCGGAGGATAACCTGATTCAGATTTTTAGATGCGTTAAATATTATCAGATATACATAGCTAAAATTATTTTCATCAATAATGTTTGAAATGATATCAACATGTTACTACGTACACGTAATGATAAACATGAACAGTACATCATCTTAAACTGATGGATACAATCGACTTTAAGATTAAAATTCAAATATAATTCAAATGACTGCACTAATGACAAATAATACCAACACAATTCCATTTGGTTGCCAGTGGTTCCCGGTCTTCCACACTGCATGGTGTCACGAAGTGTTGTAAAGAGACGATATACTCACAATGTGATGGGAATATTGAAATCGGAATAAGCATGACCAGATCACAACGTTTGAAATCCCTGATCTACAAATTACATATTAGAGATGATTACAAAATGATGTTCATAGAGAATACTACACGAGGTCTCATTTATACGAATTATACGAAACCAGTGTCCTTCCTATGGTATCTGACCGAGCGAAAGCGAGGTCAGATAACATAGGAAGGTCACGAGTTTTGTACAATTCGCATGTAATGAGACCGAGTGTGGTATTTTATTTATTACCCACGTCTTACATGCATTAAATTGACAAAATAGCGTATTTTTGTTAATAGTTTGGTTTCAAACCGAAACCGGTTTCATAAAGAGGTTGCGGAAGAGTTTTGTACTGTAGTACAATATTTGCATGACGTCACACTGTAATGACGTCACTGCCTTGGTAACCGACGTCTAGATGCATGTCAGTTGTCATCGCCTCGTACAGCCTCCTACAGTAAACTACTCCGTAGCACCCCGTTTCTTGGTTTGCAGTTGCTTCATTCGGCTAACATCACTGGAGGAAACATTGCGTTTATGTTTTCCGACGGATATAATGTCTCAGTTCGACTCACAATTAAATAGCGACACGGCAACGTTCCGTCACAACGTGACCTAACTGAGAGGTCATCGGTTATCCAATCAAATCGTTAGAATCTCAGGTCAAGTCGTTACGACACAGGTCAACGCGATACGACACTCGTGTGACGTACGAGATTAGTATGCAACTACCCATGCGTTGACCACGTGGGAAATAAATATGTATATTATCCCAGCTGCTGTCAAACAGTACACATAACAGTAAATCGAAAATACCAATACCAAATCGACCATTTTGAAACATGCAAAGCTGTCGACCACCAGCATTCCGATGTATATCTTCTACACGTGCATTTTTCAATGTTCTGAAATTTCCACAACCCTGCATAGCCACCAATCATGAATGAAAATAGCACAACAGTACTGAGACTAACTCGTCAATTCAACCGTACGCAAAGTTCGTGGACGTACAAATGCTCAGGGTCAACATTGCGCGGATGCACTGTTCCAAGTGAACTGCTACTAATGAGTTGTGAGGAATACCACATTTGGCCAAAGCAGAAGAAATGTGCAATGCTTCTTGCTGAATACATACGATGAGCGAACGAATACATACATGAGCGAACAAATATCATGATTTATTGCAACGATGAAAACAGAAGAAGGCCTAAATTCTTACCTTGAAATGGTTTTCACTTAAATATTTCTGAAAGGACAATTAATATCGTTAATGTCGTATTTCATATGATTCAAGGGCAAATTGGCGTCACACAAATGGAACAAATTTGGAATACACGATATCGCAACTTCCGGGTCAGTATTTCATTCTCGGGAAAATATACAAGCTGTTAAATGAGGTTAATGTTTTTTCACATTACACCCCCACGAGACACACAATGACCTTTTCCACAATAACAACAAAATAGCTGATGTGGACATTTTATAGAAGGAATGCGTGTTCAGTACAATTCCCAAGAACTTACTCATAATCAATGTGATGCTTATAACATTATCCAGTGTCAGTAAAGAACAGAAATTTCAGGAGTAGGGGTTTGTTAATTTGTTATAATAGGTTTTCATGAAACGTGACTCACACGATAATATGATCGTTCAGCCAATTCAAATGCAAAATGGCGGAACGAGTTCGGAATTAATTTCACTTGCTAATTTCCAGGCAAATCATTAATTTTCATCATGGTAGGCGAACAAATGTTTTTATATTAATGGAGACTCTTTTGATCCTCAGGTGAAAAGAAGACCAACACTTAACTGGTCTGAAACATTATATATATTATATTTTTCCTGTTTATACAACTTTTGGCAATTTCAGTGTGCAGCAAGAGGTGGGTCAGTAACACCATCATTTCCATACAAATGGTGGGTGTTCTTTTCGGCAGCATAATAGCAGGCTACTGCTCAGAGAGATATGGCCGGAAGAACGTTGTCTACGGCGGACTGCCATTGAGCACCATCAGCAAGCTCACAGCTTCATTCTCTGTGTCACACCCAGTAGAAGGTAGCGATGGGGAAGGGAGGCGACCCGTGACGTTCGGCTTATCCTTAGTATTAATTTGAAAAGGAGTCTTGGTTTCTTGGCATCTTTTCCTGCTCGCGGGTTTCATCAACTGCATGAGAGTATTTCCTCTCACCCGCTGACCTGCAGTAATGTAATTTACTAATATCCTAACTATCTAAGATATCAAAGTGCTGCTTGAAAATGGATTTGCAATCTCTGCCAAATTATCCAACATCAGCGCATGGATATTGATTGGGGCGTTGTCAACTGAACAGTTCCCTACCGTGACCAGGTGATTCGATTCATACTAACTTGATTGTTGTGTTGAAGTGGCTATCTGATAACAAAACACGGCGAAGTTTGATAGAACATGGTATTCAAACGTCCAGCAACAAATGCTAGCATGGCTAAAGGATGCTGCTCTACAAATCAAAATCTGCGCATACATATGCATGGCTAATTGTGCTCTAGATGTATCTGTACGCTTCAGCAATCTACGATCTAAAATTGACGTAATGTACCTTCTTTAAGTGGTATGTAGAGTTGAGTTGAGTTGGGCTTTACGTCATATCGGCATTATTCCAGCCATATAGCGACGAGAACGAGTCTGCATTAATACACATTGTAAGTCAAAATTAGTTTTATTTCAAAAACATATATTCATTACATTGTCATTTAAAGACAGAGAATGTCATAGCACTAAATTTAAAAGCAGGCAGTTCGTTAGTCACATTACACAGTTACAATTTATGATATTGATCAACTTCCCTCAGGTAGTTCACTATCAGATGAGCGCTCACGCGGGAGAACAGATCTTTCAGATTTGTTGCATCATAATGTGAGTCCCTTGCAGACGATAAGTCTACACAGTCAAGCAGAATATGTTTCATGGTGAAAACTTCATCGCAAGAGACACATATGGGGGGTCCATCCCCATCCGTTTTCAGCAGATAGTCATGTGTAAACCGACTGTGGCCAATACGACATCGTCGTAAAATTACCTCATCACGTCTTGACTGACAACCCAAGTAGGTATAACCATGGTATGTAGAAGCTGGTATGATGACGACGAACATTTTTTACAGATAGACTTCTTCATTGCAATAGATGAGACCATTCGGTGTAGATGCTATCAAAAATGTGCTTGATAACGGTGTTAGGATCTACACCGAAACGTCGCATTTATTGCAATATAGAAGTTGTCTATCCATTGAAAGTGTTCCTCTTAATGTAATGTAAATAAACACAACATATAGAATAATATTGGTAAAATGCTCAGCCAGTAGTGTCTTCCAATGTGCCTTGTGTTATGTATTTATAACAGCCGTTGATTTCGAATGGGTACAGTATTTGTACTTTGCTTGTACTGTTTACTAGACACAACTGTCTGAGTATTCTTTTTTAAGCTGAGTGTTTGTCATGTTTGTTTGATAAACTGATAAGCCATAATGTTATCATATGTAACAAATATCAAAAGTTAGCGGTAATACATCCACAGCATAAACGAATTCATGCTTTTAAAGATTATTCGATTTAAACCATTTTCATATAGCAAAGCATAAGACAGAGCTGCCATCAATGTGTGTCTTTGATATCCTATCCTTGAAACCAAAAGGTAGATGTCATGTGGTTGCAAATCCATGTCTTCATTGAACTGGGACATGTTACACAAAATCACAAAGTCACTAATTACTTTTTACAAACTGTTGCGGGGATGAGTGATATTATCAGATTTGGAAACATCATAAATCTCGGTGTACCTTCTTTTACCTTTGTGCCCCTTTATTGATGACAGTAGTGGTGGGTATGCGCTTAGAGCATGCCCCTCGGTGATGTAGATGAGGCGCTATAAAAGTACTCTTATTATTATGTTTTACAGATTAAGATGAAAATGCAGCAGAAAGGGTCCGGGTGATCCTGGCACAGTCAGGCTGGTAAGGCTCATCATCAGCTCAGGGCCCTTGCCCCCCAACACTCAGCCCAGACAGCGAATGGGACGCTGCCTAGTGGAACCCACCAAGAACTTTCCAGAGAATATGTAGACTCCCCAACACTGCAGCCTTCTGCATTACCCAGAGTGTAAGAAGGGCTGTGCTCCTGGCGGAGAACCCGGGCACTCTCCTGATCTGCGCCAAGAGATCAGGAGGTACCAAACCAAGGGCACCAAGAACAATGGGGAGCCTGACGACAGTGTACTTGGGATGCAAGCGAGACATTTCAAAGGCGAGGCCCGCATAATTAGCATGCTTTCCCCGAATCTTACTAATCGCGTTGCTGTCAAAAAGGGACAGAAAATTCAATGATATATATAAATTCATTAGCTTTATCAAAAAGGACAAGATCAGGTTTGTTGGCTGGAATTCTTCTGAGGCTGTATATGGACCTATTCCAAAGAAGTTTAAAAGCACGTTTAAAGCCACCGGCATGGCGAAGACGAAAGTAGAAGCAACGAGCCATGTCGTCATGTCGTTTAAGATAGGCTGTTTGTGCCATGGACGGGCATCCACTAACAAGATGTTGGAAATCTCTGTAAATTCATTGAACAGTCGACAT